CCCCCCCTTTTTCTCGGTGCGGACTTACTTTTTCCGCTTGGGAAGCGCAAGTGTGCGCGAGTTTTTCTACGGCGCTTTTCTTTCGTCGGTGAGTTGGTTTTTCTTCTATTTTTAAGTTACTAAGGTGAATGGTGAGGAAACCTTCGTCTTAACTAAACATAAGCCCCAAACAAAATATAATGAAAGCAAAATAAAAGTAAAATAAAAATAAAGCTCAGACTTGGTTCCTTACAAGGGGTCGGCAGTTTGTCAAGTGAGAAGAGCCAAATTGTCATGAAAACAGGATAACAAAAGTACCAGAGAGCCGCATGTTAATTTAAATGTGCGAAATATGACACACGACAGGGGCGCCTCTAGTGGCCATTTTCGGCATAACATTACACGGATGGATGGACATGCGTTCAATAGGTTATATATATAGATATGCTTCAAATGCTACCACTCTTATGCGACTCATATTGATCAACGCGAGTGTGGTCATGTGCAGAAGGAGAACAAGTCGAAGTTTGTTCGGCAGCTCTATCTCATAAACTCATAAGTTATAAGGCTGCGGTGAAATGAGGTGAAATGAAATTGGAGTTTATGTCCAAAGAGCTGCATGCAGCTCGCGAGCCGCTAATTCCGACCCCTGATCTAGACAAATGCAAAACATTTCACATAGAAAAAGAAATCCTGAAGAAAGAAGATTTTACACTTGGAAATGGAGATGCTATTGAATCCATGGAAGAGAGTGAGTTCTACAAGTACAGTAAGACCTCGTTTAACACGGGTTTCCTTGACAACAAAGTGCTAAACGTTGTTAATTTTAACAGAGTAAATAGGGATAGTGGAACATGCGAATGAAAATCTAACTTAAAATTAAAGTAAAATTTTTTTATTATTATACAAATTAATATAAAAATATGTTAAATAACACATACACACAGAAATGCATAATAATATAGGTTATTAAGTTAATAGTTCATTTTTTATGACGAAGGTCCTGGTTTTTCTGAAATTCTTGTTCTTTTGCAATAAAGTCGTGAAGTTTCATTTGTTGCTTTTTCCTTAAGCAAATGTCGGTAGCAGAAGATTGCATCCAAAACGCCTCATTTTGCTTTTGCACTCTCTTCAAAATCTAGATCATTTGTTGCAATTTGATCACCGATTTTGATTATCATTAGCAAACTTTTACTAAGGAAATCTGTAGAGAAATTTTTTGGGTTCTTTGTTTTCAGAATCACTATTTTCCAGTTCTACATGGATTCCTTGTTTTGCCAGTTCTTGAAGGTCGTCGTAAATAAGACTCTTACCAGAAACATGCGGTAATTCCTCAATATCCTGTTTGTCTACATCTCCTAGTCCTGCTGTATTGATTAAGTTGACAATTTAGTCAACCTAATGATATAGCGATAGGCTCTTCTTGTTGAGAATTCTTAGATACCTTCAGCCAAAACTACTTCCACACTTTGTTTGTGCATTTATCACTTAATTCTTGCCAAGCAAAGCCGATATCACCTATGGCAGGGGTGGCAAACCTATGGCACACATGCCCAAAGTTGCACGTAAGAAGAAATCATCTAGCATGTAACGTATCATACGAATTTGATTTATCATTTGTCTTTTTCAATCATTGTTTCATTTATTCTAATTAAAGCATTTTTATTAAATTTATTTAAANTGATAATGAAACACATTTTTGTATTTTACTTTATATCAAATATATATGATGCTAAATTCTAAACTGCTTTTTGTTAAATGACTCATTACCTCAAGATAATGATACACATTTTTAAATCAGTCTTTTCATGACAGTAACAATTACATATTATCAGTTTGTTAATGTTTAAAGCATTGGTTAAATTTAATCATTATTTACTGGCATTTTTTACTGCAGTTAATGATGTATTATTAACTAGTAATTTATTCTCCATATAAGTTACGCCATGTTAAAACAATTAAAAATACATATCAATATCAGTTAAAACCAGAATTTCTATTAAATAATTTCATCATATCGTATATACTTAATCTGCTTAATGTTATTCGTTGGCCATTATTACAAGTATAGACTAGTCTCAAAGCATTTACTGCATATAAATAAACTTAAAATATTCTTAAAACTGAAAAAAAACTTAATTATCATAGTAGTAAACTTTCTATATAAATTTTTTTGTAAGGTGAGGCCAGGAATGGATTTATCCAAAGTTGTTCTACCAACATTTATTTTGGAACCAAGATCATTTTTGGATAAACTTTCAGATTACTACTATCATTCTGATATTATTTCCAGGTAAATAATTAAATATATATTATAGTTCTGTGAATTTTATATTATTAGAAATATTAATAATAGAACATATAATTTTCAAACTAATTCTTATTTAGAAATTAAAAATTTGAAAGATGGTGGATACTGCACCTCAGTGGTAAAGATTCTATTACTATAATACAATAATACAATACATGTATTATAGTCTTTGGTTCATTGCAGAAAATGCTTCATAATCACTTATTTTTTTTAGTAATGTGACATTTTTTTCGGTAATTCCATAGTCTTAATTTTGTTTCAAATATTCTATTTTTAAGTGCACACAAACATTTTGTTTGTTAATTGTAATTAATCAATCATATGATATAATATAATATAAATAAATACAAAAATTAAATCTTTTATTATGATTTTGACTACTTAGATAAGTCATCATTGATATTTATTGCAGGAAAGTTTTTAAATTTAATCTACATTTTCCATTTTTTAGACACAGTGATTATCAGGTGAAGATCTCACTTTTATTTGATTACTGATACAATAAATATTAAATTAATCAATGACTGAATACTGAAAATCAACAGTGGTGGCTTCTGGCATCTAATAACAGAATGCAGTCATGGGAAGGTGTGTGGCATGCAACCCTAACAAAATTGTTTTAATTGGTGATGGTTTTGATTAATTTTAACTTAAGCAAAAACAATTCCGTTAGGGTTGTGTGCTATATGTCCTCTCACAACGGCACCACCATAGATGCCAAGAGCCATCACCATTAATCAATCTTTATTCTTTATTCAGTGGTGCCCAAACTATAGCCCCTCAGATATATTTGTGAGCTGGATTTAACAGACACATAATTTAGGAACCATTCAAGTATTACATCAGAAATTTATGGGGAGTGGGATTCATTTGTATCTGATGACTGGGAAGGTGAGTTTTTAATGATGGAAGATTGCACATGTCATTTATTTTTCTCCCCAGTCACTACAAAATTATTTAAAAATATATGTATTTGTAAATTTTTTTAAAGATCTGGCCTGATAGGTAAGGGGAGATAAAAAAAATAGCAAATTTTTGCTTTATGTAAGGTTTGAACAGCCCCTTATAAGTGCTAGGAATATGCAAAATATTTGTGGCCTGTCTAAGTATGATTTGTATGCAATCTGGCCTGCCAATTGAAAAGTTTGAGCATCACTGTGTTATACAAAAGATTTACATATAATTTAGATGTAAAGAAATAATAAATGGAATCAAAACATTTTCTGTGATTTCTAAAATTATAAAAAACGTTTTGAAAATTAATTTGCTCTTCTTAGGTAAATTAGTTATTTTTTTAATAGGGCAGTCTTAGAAGACGATCCCTTTACAAGAATGAAAACAGTAGTACAATGGTATTTGTCGGGTTTTTATAAAAAGCCCAAAGGTTTAAAGAAACCTTATAATCCTATTTTAGGAGAAACGTTTAGATGTTACTGGAAACATCCTAACACGGGAAGCAGGACATTTTATATAGCTGAACAGGTAAAATTAATATTTCTCCATTATTTCTTTAATAATGCATTACAGTTGACAGGATTTTTACTGTTGAAATATCCTTTGAACTGTGAAAATATTTAGCCATTGAGTTTCATATGCATTCTTTCCTCTGATGAAAATAAGTTTATACTAATTATTGATGTTGAATTTCTCCAGTTACAAGTATTTTTAAAATTTCATTAAACTCTTCAATATTATCAGATTTCAATAATAAATATTCCACATGTTTTTTTACATAATTAAACAAAAATAGCTAATTTAATAATAATACCTTTAATGATAAGCATAAATTTTGCTGAAGGGAAATAATAATAATAATAACTCTCCTGTGGTCACCACCTGGTCGTGGTGGGAGAGCCCAGTAATTTTACTGATCCATAGGGCAATGCAGGCTGGAGCACAAGCTCCTGGTAGGGACACTCATGCCAGTAAGGTCTATGGGCAGAAATGAAGCTAACAGTGACCACACCCACATTCTGTGGAGATATTTATCATGGTAGTAACCAGATCAAGGTGTGATACCGGTTCGGACGTCGCCCGGGTTAACAAGGTCCGCATTCGTGAGTTAGGCAGAGGTCACATTTGAAAAATAGGCTGCAGTCTCCATTGGTTACCAGTGGCGAAAGCAGCGCTGGCCCAAGCATGGCTACTGCAATGCCCTCAACAGATGTGAGGAATCAACCTAGCCTTGGTGTTTCTGTGGCAATGCATCCACAGACCACAAAGGCTGGAAAACCACGCCAA